AAATAAATAAATAAACAAACAAACAAATAAATAAAAGAAGTGATGCCACCATTTATCCGCTCACCCTGGACAAAAGCACTGAAATCCTTGTCTCCTCTCTCTGACACCCCAGCAAAGCCTGTGAGCTCTGCCTTTCAAACATACGTGGAATCCAGCCCCTTCTTCCAGGATCTGCTGTCCCCACCACAGCCTGAGCACCTTACTTCCTGTCTACACATTGCAGTCACCTCTCTGGTCCCTCACCTCGGCTTTTGCCCTCCTACAGCTGGTTCCCATGCAGCTAGCAGGATAACATTCTAAAGTGTTAAGTAATATGACTCCATGATGACTTCCCGTCACACTTAGAACAAATCCAGAATTGTTGCCTGAGACCCTGTGTGCTGTGCTCTCCAGGTGCCCTGCAGCCCTGCTCATTCTTCCCCAGCCAGCATGGAGGCTTCTCAGCATTCCTTGAAAATACCAAGCATATTCCTGCCACGGGGCCTTTGCACTTGCTGCTCCCTCTGCCTAGAAAGCTGTCTCTCTGATGTCTTGCTCCCTCACTCTATTCAGGTCTCTACTGAAATGTTACCTCCTCAGAGAGCCCTTTCCTGAATACCCTATATTACCCCCATCACTCTCCAGCCCCATGCCCTGATTTATTTTTCTTCATAGCATTTATCCCTGTCCAACATTTTACTTTATTATTATTATTGCTTATCTCTCCTATTAGAATGCAAGTGCTGTGGAGGCAGCGACCATCTCTGTCTTTTTGACACTATATGCCTACTTCCTAGAATAGAGCCTGGCATTCAATAATCCGACATTTTACTTTATTATTATTATTGCTTATCTCTCCTATTAGAATGCAAGTGCTGTGGAGGCAGTGACCATCTCTGTCTTTTTGACACTATATGCCTACTTCCTAGAATAGAGCCTGGCATTCAATAAATATTTTTTAATGAATGAATTAATGAACAAATGAATGAATTCGGGACTACTCAGTGAACTGTATAACATGTATAAACCAGATAGCATGAGCTAGCTATCATAATTTGCTTTTTCTCTTCGAATATCCCCTCCCTACGTCTCAGTTTCCTCATCTCTAAAGTAAGGTGATAATAAGACTTACTTTATAGGCTGTTGTGAGAGTTAAATTTGGAGGTGTGTGGCACGAAGGGTACTTACTCCCCTTTCTGTCATGTTTTAGTTGGTATCATTTCAGCAACCATTACCTCTTCAGCTGGTGCCAAAAGTCACCCTATAACTAGCAGTAGCTTTAGTAACCCTGGGTTAGTCTAAATGATCATTGTACTTTTAGTGGGTTATTTGTCCTTAACAATTGATGTTTTCTCAACTTCCTGTATTGTACTTGTTTCTTAAGCCTGTGTTTATGACATTTTCTTTACCTTGCCTTCAAGGAAGAACAAAGGTGCTTTCTTTTTTTGACAGCTATTATGGAAGCATCTAGACCTCTAAACTCTTGTTGTATCAGGGCTTAGTGTACTTGCTTGTCATTCTCCTATGGTGTTTTGAGAGCAACGACAGTCTTCTGTCAAGCTGTGATAGTTTCAAGCAGGTCTAGAGGCAGCATCATTCGATGGAGTGTTTCCTCTAAAATAGAGCATTGATTTTAGAACTTATGGAGCATCCATGCACATTTAAGGAAGTTATTTAAGATTAAGGTCAGAGGATAAATAATTCCCTTGTGAACATTGTAGAGATCTTGCTCTGCCCTGCTTGATTTTAGAAGATGTGTATGGAAAGTAGATGAAACAGAATAAACTATCCCAATGTGAAAACTCTATAAAAAATGGACTAATATTAGCAGTTAAATATAATTGTATTTAACAGCTGATTCATTTATATTCCATGATTCAGTTTACTGTGGAATCAGGCATCTGTGCCTTTTTCTCCCTACAGGATTGGTATATTTCTCACTGTAGGAGATTTGGGGTGAGTGAGAGAGAGAAGGTTCTTTTAGATTCTCCTGTGATTATGCAGTGGTAAGAGAAGTAATTGTCTCTGCTCTTACAGCTTTTCCTCTTGGAATCTCCCTTAGCCTGTCCCCACCATCTTCTAGGGAATCCACATCCATTTTTCTCTCTCTCCTCCTTTCCCTGCCAGGCGGCCATTGTGCTTCAGGCAGCTTTCAAGGGACATCTAGCGCGGGCGAAGCTGTTATCAAGCAAAGAATGTGGCTCAGAGTCTCCCAGCATGCCAGGCTTTCCAAATCAGGTAACCATCAAGGCGGCTGGACGCAGACCCGGTAGTTCTCTCTGCACTGCTTCTCCTCTCATACCCCATCAGACAAGAACAGCACAGGGCACGTTTCAGCCTTCAAGTCTTCTCTTGCTCAGTAGGTGTGCCTTGCGCTCCATCACAGGCCCATGCAAGCCAAGCAGTGACTCCTCAGGTGCAGGCCCCGGGTGGATTTAGCTATAGAGGCCAGGTTGCTTTCGAAGAATCAAGTGGCATGTCTCTCACAGTGAAGACATAAGCTTTTCTTTTTTTGGTGCCTGGCCAGTATGGGGATTTGAACCCATGACCTTGGTGTTATAAGGTACGCTAACCAACTGAGCTAAACTGCCAGCCTAAGAAACTATTTTTGGTTGGGAGGGGGGCAGCTATGGCTGGCAGTACAGGGATCTGAATCCTTGACCTTGGTGTTACACGGCTGTGCTCTAACCAACTGAGCTAACCAGCCAGCCCTAACGTAAGCTTAAAAACTAATAAAGATGTACACTTTATATGTCAGCCCCCTCCTCTGCAAAAAAATGCAAGATGTTTATTTTAAGAGTCTCTAGAGTTTAAAAATTAAGAACCCGCAATCAGGAGGTTGCTAATTAAACAGCAATAATGGGGCAGGGGTGGGGGAGGTGGAGCACCTGAAAAGGAAACTTCTTGGTTCCCTGATGCCCAGGGTGCCACACTTGAAGCTGGCAGAGGGTTGCCAAATGGTTCTCTTCCCTGTTGTCTGCTGCAGAGCTCTTCCCTGCCCTGGG